AACCCTGCTACCAGTTGGAGTCTACCCATTGTCCATTTTGGAAAAACTGAGTCTGAAGAGCAACAAAACAGAAGAGGAGGAGGAGGAAAACAATTTACTGTGTAGGGATTCGAGGCCAAGATGTGACGTGGGAAGGCCCAGAGTCTTTGCTCAGAACCTGGGGCGGGAGCATGTGGCCAAGCCAGAGCCATATTGTGTCCCAGGCAGCCTGATGGCTCCACAAATAATATTGATGCCTTTTGTTTGGAAACTTTTGTGGCAGCTTCCCACTTTCCAACAAGCCGTGGTAAATGCTGGGCCCTCCCCAAACCACTTTGCCTTTTGCATGGTTTCTGGCCAACTGTGCAGGCAGATGAGGCCCCTCAATGCTAATGAGGGAAAGGGCTGGCATTCCTGAGGCACCCAGCTCTGGGAAGCCCGCCTTTGTTGCTAAGGAGCATTGGAACTGTAGCTGAAAGGCTCCTAAAGACAGGGAGGAGAGGGAGAGAAGAAAGGCACACACTTGTTTCCAGAACTTCATAGTTCTCTAGATGGCACCAAAGCTCTCCAGTTTCTGATCCCAATGAGAGTATCGCCCGCTCCTTACTGTTCCTCTTAATGATCTTGGGAAATTCTTCAGAAGAGTTAGAAAACCAGCAAATCCTGGACTGTTCTATCTCTGCTGCTATGCTTTTGCATCTGTGAACGTACTACCCCCAGGTGGCTGGAGAATACTTTGTTCCTGGCTCAGAGGGGTATGGAGCTGAGAGAAAGCAGCTGGAGTTTGCTAATGTTCATGTGGAGGCTCCATTCAGTTGGTATTCAACAGTGACCCACATGGTGAAGGATCTGGGCTTTGGTGCTGGTGACAAAGTTGAAGAGGCTTGGCTTGGATTCGCTTCCAGGCTTGCTAGAGAATCAGGCCATTCATACAGGAGTGTTGTACGAACTGTTTGCTGACAGTGTGGCCTACATAGCATTGTTGGACTTGGAGTTCACACAACACTTTTCAATCCTTGCTCAGTCACTCTCACTAGGCCTGTTAGAACCAAAGTGATTTCAATAGTACCCTGAGCTACAGTTTTTTCAACCGTAGAATGGGCATATTAATGCCCACCTGTTTTGTAAAATAAGAAAAGCGATTACAGGCAGGAGAGTAATGTAAAAGGCAGTTTCTGCTGACCAGGAAAGCACTCAGAAAATGAGCCAAATGCTAGTTTCAATATCTGAAAAAGACTAATAATTAGGCCTGTTGTGAAGGGAAATACCGTATAAAAATACAGTATACGTGTTTTCTCTGTGGCATGCAAGACACAGTGCTAAGCCGTTGGTGTAATATCTCATTATTTATGAATGGAATGGTGTTGCTCTGGTAAAACATGAATTGCTCAAAGCTATATGGTGTGAGAGACTCTTCCCTATGGTGAGAAAATGCCTCTCTATCCTTTACAGTTTGTGGTTCTTGCAAAGTTAGGGCACACACACACACACACACACACACGCACACACACACATAAATACACACCACTGCATCTCATCTCTAAGAAGCTTACTGCATACTGTCACCCACTTAGGAAGATCCTGCTGCAGAAAGCTTATCAGTCAACAGACAGTGGCCTTTACTTCTCTATCTTTATTAGAATTCCACAGTGACACACAGCAAGTATTCAACAAGCCGCTATCTGAATAAAATAGGAAATAGCAAATGCCACAATAACATTCTGAAGCATAATGACATCATAGCATATTATTATTTATGTCAATTTGTTGGCTTCATAGAAGACCTAATATAATCTCTACTGTCACATCATTACCTTAATAAATAATCTTCCCTGAGAATTTAAATTTTATTTCCTTAATTTTTACTCAGACAAAAGTAACGAGTATACTCTTATAATACATCCATGAGCAGATAGACAAGCATAAAGACAGCACCAAGACCAAGATTCCCTTCTTAGCTAAATTCTAACCATCCTGTGATCATGTAGTCTAACTTCATGTGGCCTGACCCTAATTCCCATCCCCACCTCTGATGCCTCTTTGTTATTGTCCATGTATTCATCCCCCTGCTTTGTTGATCATTTCCTCTTGCCATATTAAAGTTGGGCCCAATATCTCTCCTCTAGGGCATAAGTCCCTCAAAGTAGTCCTATGCTACCATCATAGTTATAAATATAGTCTGTCTTACTGTTCTTTTAAAAATAATCATGCTTTATTAATTCTTTGAGAATTTCATCCAACACATTTTGATCACATTTACCCACATTTCTTTCTGTAATTCCTCACTGATCTATCTCTTCCCCATAGTTTCCTACTTCCTGTCTCCCTTTGTTTTAAAACAAGTAACACAAACACACACATACACATATGCACAAGTATGCACACAAATACCCTCCACACACACATATGCATACATATACACACATACATGCACTCACATAAACACAAACATGTACAACACATACACACACATGCATATAAACACATACATACATACAAATCCACACACATCCACACAGATACAAATACATACATGCATACACCCACATACACTTATACACACACACATACACACATACATTTATACACATATACATATATACACACATACATATGCAAACACACACACATATACACATACATACATATACACACACACATACACATAAAACACAATATTAGGGGTAAAGCTGTGAATGATTAAAAAAATTGTTATTTGTATCTAGAAGAACAAAATATATTTCAAAGTCCATTTTAGTATGGTAATGGCCTGATTCTCCTCTGTTTTTTTTTTTTTTTTTTATCTACACAAACCATTTGTTCAGTTTTTTTGTGTTTTTTTTTTATTTTGAGATTTTCTGAGAGTTTATGTCTCCTGCATGCAAAGAGTTGTAAAAATGGCATCGCTTCCAGTGTTTATCACACTCTTACAAAGAAGTCCAATTACTTCCTTCTTATAGATAAAGAAACTGAAGTTCAGGGAGCTTAAGTCACTGCCAAGTCTGCATAGTGAATGGATTTTAGCTGTTTTAGAGCCTGTTCCTTGTCTATTCTTGGTGTAATTTGGACGGTGAGGGTAGAAAGTGGGTTATGATCTCTTCATGGATTTCCTCCATAAAGAAATATCCATTCAGCCAAACCAAATGGAAGCACTGGTTCCAGTCACAAAGATGGGAACACTTGTTACATTTCACTGTCTGTAAATATGCCCTGGCCATTTACATCAACCGGTTACTAAGGCTGCTGAATCAAGAACTCTATTGGATGTTGGATAGAAAAGCCTGAACAAGGCAAAATCCTTGCTACTGAAGATTATGACTGAGTTCATTAATTTCAAATCAGGTTTAGAGTTCCCACTCCCCCAGCTGCCTCTCTAGTCCACCTGCTCAGAGATCAAGGGGATATCATGATCCACAGCACCCCAGGAAGCTACCTTTCTCTGACAAATAACTAGTACAGTCAGTTTTCTTACTCTCTATTTTTCTGAGCCTGTATGCTCATTTGTGAAATGGACCCATGAGACCTCTTGCTGAGAAGGTTGGGGGAATAAAGTGCCAAGTTGCTGGTACTTAGTAGTTATATTGAACCATTAATCCTAAAACTGTCATTTTCTTTACTTGGTTCATTGTCAGATGGAGAAAGCAATGTCGATCCTTACTTTGTTGACTTATAAAGGAGATCTAGTAGTTTCAGAAGTTAAGTTGGTTAGAACTAAAGTTTCTTTTCTCGAATCTAGGTGTTTCTGCTTTTATTCTTGAAGGTTTGTTCATGAGACGTTGTCATGACACACCACATTACAAAGTGGACAATATGGCATGCTCAGAAGCTATTTTTTTTTTGACTGTGGCCTGACATGACATAACTCATTCATCTTATTTCCCAAACCTTTCAAGCCCAGCATCCAGTTTAAGTTTCATTAGTACTGGTCTTCAGGTCGTCTTATCTCTGAAGGTTCAGGACCATCTTCCTTTCAATAAACCTATCTCTGTGCTGTTTGGAAAAGGAAGAGGTGGAGAGCTGCAGAACATACTAAATACGGAACTACATGGTTGGTGGTAATTCTATCAGATCTTTCTGCCCTGAGAGTGCAAAGCATTTCCAAAGTGTAATCCGAAGTGCCCTTCCTTGAAACTTCTCTCAGGGACTCTGGGAAATAACCCTGGAGAAACTGCTGACATTGGCTAGTTTTGCCCTGGAAATGGTGCTAAACTTACATAGAAAACTCAAATTTTAAATTATTGTTCTGCTAACTGTTAAGACAGTGTCAATACTTTAAATTTATTTTTGTTTTGTTTGTTTGGTTTTTTTTTCCCTTGAGACAGGGTTTCTCTGTGTAACCTTGACTGTCCTAGAACTCACTCAGTAGACCAGGCTGGTCTTGAACACAGAGGTCCACCTGCCTCTGCCTCTTGAGTACTTGGATTTAAAGGTATATACCAGCATGTCTTTTATTTTTCATATAGTTAAAATCATTCTTAGAATAGAGCCTAGCATGGTGGCCCATTTACCTACATAGGAAATTATGTATTAAAGCTTTTAGGAATCTGAGGCAGTAAGATTATGAGTTGAGGGCCTATCTGGACCATATATGGACACATTATCTCAAAAGTAACCCCCCCAAAAAAGAGCTATTAAGCTCTATTCTGTACCAGACATTCTGGTGAATATTAACATTACGAATACATTTTGACACATGAACTCATGTTTTTGTTTTTTTTTTTCAAAACCAGTTTTGTTAGAAATGTAGAAGAAAAGTACTGATTACATTGATTATAAGCACTAAAAGAACAGAAGATCACTTCAAATGAATAGGTTCTTATATCAGAAGAGAAAGCTGCATCTCTCTGATCATTGTGAACTGTTCCTTACCACAGCCAAGTCCTGGTCAAAACTGGCTAGAAACAGCTCCATCTTTCTCAACTCTGCAAAGCCTCAGCCCAGCCCTCAGACTGAGGAGGAGTACAGGTCCCCATGAAGGGGGCGGTGAGATAGGCAGCTGCTCTCATGGTGTGTGCCTGTTCTCACAGCTCCTTTAAGTACTGAAGTGCTGGTTCCAAGATTATGTTTTCTCCAGAACTGTATCTTCGCAAGGCCTGGTTGATTCTCCGGGGACTCAGGGACAAGTTGTAAATGAGGTTGTAGTTGTGAATGAGGCGCCTGGCTTGCTCCTGCTCCAGCACTCCTGTGATGACATGAGTAGACGAAGTTTATTTTATTATTTGCTTAAAGATGAAGGGAGACTAAAGAAAAGATATATGCTAGTTTGAATGAGTTGTAGGTACATGGTAATTGCTAACGTTTTACGACTTTAAGATTCTTAAAATTTACTTAAGATATTTAGAGTAAGATATGGTTTACAGACCAAAGAAGACAACTTTGGGGTAGAACAAAGCAGATAGATCCAATAACACCACACATATGTTCTAAAGAATTTAAGCATATTCTTTGTATATAATTAAATGTAAAGGCAATTTTTCAAAGAAGTGGTGTGCTTGCTAAACACATTCTTAAATATATAGGATATTTCTTATCAAAGTATCTATGAATGTTCCCAGACATTTACGAGTTAAACTGCTCCTTCTTGACACACATTTTCTGTGACTGTCTTCAACTAACCTGCGTGATAGATGTGTGGATACACAGCAATCATTCTGTCATCCATATGTCATCTGTCTCAGCGATGACAATGTCAGCATGCTTTCTGAATGGAGGTTAGGTGCTAAAATAGCTGCAGGGAGGACTCTTAAGTGTAGATTGCAGCTAATGATCACTAACTGGTTTATAAGCCTGAACTGTGAGTTTAGACATGTTAGATGCTACACTCGGGAATACAGAGACACAATCCGTTACTTATAGAAGTTCTCCAACCTATGGAGAAGGTTTGCGAAAGATTAACTGAAATGGAACAATCTTTACAATAACAAATATTTACCTACAAGCATAGCCTATGTCTCACGCTCCATCCCAAGCCTTTACAATATGGAATCATTTGGTTCTCATTATTACCCACTTCACATGGGGAGAAACTCAGTTCTAGAGTTGTCCAATCACTTGGTTAAGTGGTTACCTTAAATGGTTAGCTGCAAAGTTATTACACTATGAAATGAGGTTAAGAGATTTAATATGGGCTATAGTATCTGCTAATTTTGTCCTTTTAACTGTGAAGATCTATGTCATAATGTGCCAAAAAAAAAGCGTCTCAACATATTTTAAAAGATGTAAGATACATCCCAAGTGTCCTGGTTAACTTCCAACTAGACACAACCTAAAATTTTCTTGGAAGAGTCATAGTTAGGAATTATCCAGATCATGTTGGCCCTTCGTCCTGTCTTTGGGGATTGTCTGGATTGTTAGTTGATTTAGGAAGATAAGGATCTTTGTGGCAGGTCTTTAGGCAGGTGGTCCTGAACAATTTTAATAGTAAGAGGAGTTAACTGATAAAAGTCTTGAGTGCAATATATATCTTCTGACCTAAAATAAGCAAAATTTCATTCTCCGTCTAGTGTAGCTGAGTACCAGTTGTAGTGAGAAGTCAAGGAGGGCTAGGTTTGAATTGTGGATCTATTCCTACTGGCCACTATGTCATCATTTTGAGCTTGAGTTCTTTCTCTACAAAGAAGGGTACTAAGCCTTCAGTCTGGCCGATGTGAGAATTTAGAAATGAAAAGCATACAATGTCTTGGGCCATGTCCTTTAAGGCATTCTGCCTCTTTGGACTTTATATTTTCTATTTAGACTTTGGTTCACTGGGTAAATTCTTAGTATACCGTTTACTCAGCCATTTGTTTCAGACACTTTCTTTCTTTAAAATACTTGTCATTCCTTGTTCCTTCTCTTTGAGGCTATTTTCTTCACAATCCCCATTAGAAAATAAGCCCAGTAGGTTCCCAGAAACACTGATTTGATGACGGATGGTCTGCTGGATCCTGGATAAGGAATGCACTGGCCTACTTAGCTCCTTGCACATAATAAAGAACAGTGAGTCATCTGTGGGCAGAGCAGGTGTTGTCAGCTCTACATCTAGAAAAGGGCTTCATGGTCTGTGAAAGACTGTGGCTAATGAACCAACAGCATGTCCTTAGCTAATCCTTTCCCATTAGACAGTTGTAGATGTTCCCAGATCTGGCTGACATATTCTTTGGCTGTTGAGCAACTAGCAAACTTCATAGAAACAGAGGAAATAGGCATAAACAGTGAGAGGGGCATGAAAAAGGCATCCCAAAGCCATTAGAATCTGTCCCCAAAGTCAACAAAAGCTACATTTTCCTCAGACTGTTTCATTCCTATTAGAAAGGTCCAAATCTTTGAGGAGTTTCTTAGCAACTAACTTTAGGATCCAGGATACATTATCATAACTTATCATTTTATTTAGGAATGGTTTTTCTTTCCACTTAGTATCTAGCTAGGCTCAGGGTTACTTGAATAACCTTCCAATCTCACTTCTTCACCATAGAAATCTTCCCTAATAATAATAATTTATCTCAGCTTTCACTATGACATTCTCTGCTTGAAATTTTTTTTTTGATTCTGATAGAGAACGATGCCTCATCCTAACTCTCAGGATCACAGTAAAGGCTCAACTTTACCATGTATGTAATGACCAAATGTATACTTCTGTGCTTGTCTTGTTCATCCTTTTGCCTGTCATGAATCAACTCAACTCTTAACATTTGGAGAAGATGGCTTCAACTTATAATGGCTAGATGAAGCCACCAAAGTGTTCTTCCCATCATGTTTCAGGTCTGGCTCTGTCTCCCCAGTACAGTCTCAGGTACTTCAGCTCACATTACACGCTGAGCTTCCTTTCATATTTGTTTTTTTCTTTCTTATATTAAGAATTTTAATTGATACATTTTATGTAGTACCATGTGATATTCCAATAAAAATAAATACTGCATAATTTTATCCAGAGTAGGTATATTTATCTTCTCAAACATTTATCAATTCTCTAAATAAAATTATCCAGAATTAATTCTTTCTAGATTTTTTTAAAATACATGGTCCATTAGAACTTCTTTCTCATATTTAATTGTAACTGAGCACATGATGTCTTTCATTTGAACTACTTAATTTTCAATTCTTCCTTCAATCATAAAACTTTATTATGTATCATCTCTTTACTCTTCCTCTGTAATGCTGTTAACTACTGCCATTCTGTGGTTCACCTAGAAGTCTATTCTTGAGGCCAGAAGCCATTCTGGATTTCTTCTAGATCTAGCCTCTACCCCAGCTCTGGAGTCATTAACACCGTTTTAATAAATATTTTATTATTCAGCTAACTTCCTCTTACATTTAATAATTTCAGGTCTTTCTAAGTTTCCTTTCCTTCCATTCCCATAATTATTAAAAATCTTGTACCATGCTATTAAACTTCATGAGGACTGAAATTTTAAAACAGAGGGAAAAGCACACAAAAGGAATGAAGAACTTGCTGTTTCACACGAGTGCCTTTGTAGGGCATGCCAGCCAGCACTCAAACATTAGTGATTATTTTAATATTAATAAAACCTTTGTTGATACCACAAAAGGACTCTTCTTTCTTTCAATGCTCACATAGCATAATCTAAGAGCACTTGTCACCTGGCATGTTGTATTGATTTATTCACATGCTAGAAATTATTTACTTGCTCTAATACTACTGAGATAACAATGAACCTTCAAGTAAAAATATACATGATAGCAATATGATGATAGATATTAAAGAAGCTGGCAAGGCCAGAGGAAGTCTGACCTAGATCTGTCTGACCCAGAGAACAGTGATTTAATTACAGAATAAATAATATTCCATAACAGGAAGACAGAAGACTTAGACAAACAGGAAAGTAAGGTATGTGTGAGGAAAAGCAAGTGACCCATAACCCATTATGACTGAGTGAAAATGTTCAAAATAAAAATGGAAGAAGAGGCATTTCAGGTGAGCAGGCACCAGATTTGACTTGCTATGTAGCTTGGAATTTCTCTTGGGAGCAGAAGGGAGTTAGGGGAATTAAAAGAATGAAGCATGTGTTCAACTGGTGGAAGAGTAGAGGTGGGGCTAGGAAACACAATGACATTGTCAGTCACCTTGTGGGAAATTCTTCTTTGATTCATCTTTGTGTGTTCTGATTTTTGTAGGCACCCGTTTTATAGATAAAATGTACTGTTTGCTGGTGAAATGAAACCAAGCCAGGCTTGGATAGAACAAAAAAGCCTAGTTTAGGGGAGAACACAAAGAAACTGAGTTGGTGGGCTTTGTAATTCATACTTTACCTGTGTTGTTCAGGTCACACAGATAAAGAGCATTTTCCAGCTTTCTGAACCTTTCTATCCATAACTCAGGTTGTTTATCCTTCATCACAGCTGAATGTTCAACAGGCTGGGAGACTGGCCTGCTCTTAAAGGAGGTCAAAGGGTCTTCTGGGGCTGAAGTCATAGTGGTAGGGATTTTTGGCTGCAGATTCTCTTCTGGAATTTTCTACCAAAACAACATAAGCATCTTACTGGCACACGTTCACTACCCAGAGCTTCTCCAGACACTTGGCCAAAGTCGAGTCCACACACCAGAAAGATTTATTGCAAGGTCTGGCTTTGGAAAACAAGGAAGAATCTTACATATTTGGCAGCATAGAGCTCTACCTGCCAAGTTTTAACTCAATGCAAACATGGCAAGTTTATTTTTTCTTTGAGAAGGGTGATGACATCACTTTTATCTCATTTTCTGTTTTGTAACAGGCAAAGGACTTGGGACCTAGGTGGCATTCTGATGTCCTATTCTACAAGTGCTAGATGAATCTATAGGGAGTGGTCTTCTGAGAAAAGCCATGACCTCCACAGTGGATTTTGGTGAAAGAATGACTAGCCCCAAAATAATGCCACTTTTGGCCTGAGAGCATGGTTTAAAGAATACCTAAATGTCTCTCTGACTGTAGTTTAACAACGGAAATCAAAGCTGCGTAAGAACTAGACTTATAAGATTGGGCAGACCTCACACTAGACCCAAAACTATAAGCAGGGCATAGAGGTGATGCTTAGCTCACTTCAGTATCCTAATTCCATGTCCACTCTTGAGTAGAAAGGTACTTTTGCAATGAAATAGACAAATGAGACCCAGAGGTGCCAAGTAAAGCATTCCAACACCTTTCATGTGTAGAAGGGGTAAATCTCTATGGCCTGATCAGTGCTGTGCTGATCCTTTGAGAAAATTGCCTTCTGCCTGACCAGCCCACATGGTTATAGGAAGAAGCACCAACTTCTATTTACATGGTTTGGGACTGGGCATCCAAGGCAAAACAAGTAGTATATCTCTTGTCCAACAGAGAGGGTAAAGGGAATATGACTCAGTAAAGATGGGAAAGCATGCCATGTTTAACTTCTTGGTTTAGGTCATGCTTCATTTCTCTCCATAATTAACACACTAAAATTTCCAATTTTTTCAAGATAATTAAGCAAGGAGAGTTGGTTCTGTTCATTGCAATCTAAAATGTTCATCACTTACCATGAAATGATTTGTACCATTTGATTTCCCTTCCCTCAACATTCAAATCTCTGAAACTTTGCAGTCTTTTTTTGATATGTCAAACTTTTCATGTGTAAGTGGTGAACACCCCAACTTCCTTCAGAAGAGCAGCTGTAACAAGAAGCTTTTCTATGAGCTGGGTAACAGACATGGATGAGGTTGCTCCCGGGAATGTGAAGAATTTTTTTGCTTGAAATACTCGAACACTGTGAAATTGCTCTGACATGGTTGACAAGCAACTGGTAGATTTTCAGGATGAATATAAAATAATTCCTGTTTGATAAAACTAATTTGGGGACAAAAAGAAACTTTTCATGTAGAAAACCAGAGAGATGATTCTTATGCATTTTTTTAGAGCTTTGGGCAACTTTAGGAAAGGTGAAAGCTTTAGAAAAATCTACTTATTTGATGCACTTGCATACATGGATATTTTCATTAAAAATCATTGTTGTTTGTAATTCCTTTGGATAGTTCCCAACTCTCTGATAATTAGACAGGGGGAATTGAAGACTTTGATCGCAAATTAGGATCAGTAAAGGAACAAGTAACTAACATACTCTATATTACTTTTCTGTACCAGGAGAAGTCGAAATTCCTTGCTTGCTCAGGGGATGTTGATGCTTTTTGCTTATTTCTCCAGCTTATTCCTTTCAGTCTCATATCATTCTCTCCAGGCACAGCTTGACACGGCGTGACAACTGAAAATACTCTTTGTCTTTATCTCTTTGTAATCTCACTCTCTCAGTCACAGAAACACCTTTTCATGCGTGTGCCTGGAATGATTGGGCTCCTATGCAATTTTCAAGACCTACTTCCTGTACTGCCTTTCCTTACAGCCGAGGATGGACAAGAATTTGTTCTTTCTCATCCATTTGTTGATCAAGGCACTTAGCACTGACTACTATATTTGTCTAAGTATCGTGTGCCCTAGAGGTATTTATTGATATATCATCAAGGGCATATGAGATAGTTATTGAAAACTCTCCAAGGTCTAGTTAGTGGCTGACAGAGATTCTCAATACATGCTTGTTGAATGAATGAATGAATGAATGAATGAACATATGGATGGATTATTTTCTCTGGTATAATAGAAAGTTGTTTTATCAAACCTCTGCTTTATCTCCCTTTTAAAAAGTAGGGCAATGGAGATGGTTCATACAAGGATTTGAGAAGAGTTAACTATTACAGAAATTTAAAAAGTCCTACAAGAAGCAAAATAAAAGAGCAAAATGAATTTTAAATATCTTATTCAAAACAGACTTAACACTCAAGGAGAAAAGCATTTGTGGTTGTTTTTCTTATGGTAAGATGCTTGCCAAAATGGATACTGTTGTCTAAAATAACATGTGTTAAGTGCACGAAGAGACCTCATATCACTTTAAGATAAATTATGTCCTAATCCAGACATTTCAAAACAATAGAAAAATTCATGCTACCTTTCAATTTTTCACTATCTCCTGGCTAAATGCTGAGAATATTAAGATGGATTTTAAATCATTTGCTGGATATTTATTTTCTTTACCTTCACACTCTCTCTCTTCCTTTCTTTTAAAAATCAGAGAACTTTTTACATTTTAAAAGGTGATCCCTTAGGGAAAGGTTACCTTCAGGTTCTGAAAGCTGGAGTTAAGATATCAAAATGTTCTTCTGGCCACCATTTAGTCTGATGACAGTTGGTGGTCACAAGTTTTGGAAGCTCTACTGTACATGTATATAAGAAAAATTGCTTAGGGTATGTGGCACACCCATCACTGAGCATGGGCAAGAGGCTTCCTCATACTAACTAGGTTAGGAGTTAACCCATATTCTAGGAGTTAATCTGTCTCCCTTTTCTGTTTGAGGCAGGTCCTAAAGACAGTCAGACAATAAGGTGTAGGGTGGAAATAAAGAACCCAAAGAGGAGGGCCCAGCCCAGCAAGATGTGGGAGGATGGAATCAGGGGTCCTCAAGGCCCTCCCAGGTGCTCCACATGCCCAGCTGCATACCACATGTTCAGTTTTTCTTTGGAGTCTTTCAGGTATGTCCTTTTGAATTTCCTTTTTATTCTTTCCTAAACAAGAAAAAGACAAAGAGAAGAGTTAAACTTGGCACACACATTTGGCATATACATACATCCAAGGCAAAGGCCACAGACTGGCTCTCTTGGGTGAGTTGCTTGTGTTAGGCAATGGGGACACTTGGTGAATAAAAGGCCAGGTTCTTACCTTGTGGATTTCAGAAGGAGGGAGGGGGTGATAAATAGTCACCCAAATGTATTCTTTAAACACCATTACCATACAAGAAAAGAAACATATGGAGATAGGAAAACATTTGAGCTTATTTAGGAGCAGTGGATGTGGTGGAAAGTGATTATTATTGCAGGAAATGAAATAAATGAATAGAAGGATGAGCAGGGAGTCATCTGGACAAAGGTATGGTGATGGTACTCAAAAAGCAGAGGCATGAATCAGCCAAAGTACAACCTGTGGAAGACTCTCAACCAGAAAGGTCCATGCAGCTTAGTGAGGTGGACCCGGTGAGTCTCTCTACTAGAATGCAAGCACTGTACCCTCAGTTTGATTAAGGGTGTGAGCACCTGCAATTTCCAGGCTGCAAGCTGCTGCCTTCATGGATAAAACTGACTTGCTTTAAATGCAGTCCTCAAAGGCCTAGGGAGTACCCTATAGACTCTAAATCCTTATGACTATCATATGCTAAGTGAAATGTAAATGTATCATTAATGAAAATACATTAGTTCTCAGTTGGGTCTCATTATTTTCAATAAAATTTAACCAAAACATTCAAGCAACGTTGGAGTGAGTCAGCATAACACAGTGGGTGAGAATATCAGGTCTGAGCCTAGAAGTCTTGGATTTAAATCCTGGCTACTTTTGTTATGAGGTCCATGATTGTGGACATTCTACTCCACCTCTTCCTGACTGAGAGAAGGATGGTACCTTAGGTGACTGTTAGGATGAAATGGAATTAACTAGATCATAGCAAGTGTTCAATAAGTATTAAAAAGTTAAGAGTGTCTTCTAAATTTTCAGATCAAGTTAGAGCCACTTTGTAATAGTCTATTAGCATTGCCTCTCTAGATAATTATCTTTTTCAATTACTTTTTGTATGTTTGTGTTTACATATGCATAGGACACGTGTGTAGATGTTTGTGTGTGTGTGCATATGTGAGAATGCACTATGAACAAAAGTATGTTTGTGTGTGAAGACCAGAGGCATCCTCCTCAGTTACTCTGTGTCTTGTATTCTTGAGACAGGGTCTGCCCCAGAATCTAGAGCACACCAGTTGTCTAGACTGACTGCCTAGCAAGCATCAAACTCCAGAGTCCTCGTCTCTGCAGTCCTAGCCCTATGATTACAGCCATATGTGTCCCTGCTTTGCCTGGCTTTTTTTTAAGCATAGATATTGGGAACCAAACCCAGGTGCACATGTTTATATAACAATCAATTTATCAACTGGACCATCTTCCTAGCTCATCTTCATTTTTTTTTTTTGATGCTGAAGACAATGTAATGTCATGTTTACCTGGAGCCTTGGCCTTCAGTGTGAGAATGGTCTTCAGTGCTTGCTCTCAGATGAATGGCTATGTACTTTTATGTGACATTAGAAAATAAAGCTACTAAGTGTGCAGTTCCTTTCTCCAGTTTTTTCCCAATCCTCTGAGAACAAGAATGTGTCTCTTCATTTCTTTCTCTCTCATACCTACCCGGATGCCACAGAATAAACCTCAACTGATGCTCATTGAAGATCATGATGGCAATCCCTCCAAGGCAAATCTGAATAGATCTGTTAAAAATTTGAGTCATAGGAATCCCTGAATACCTACTTGCACTGAGATATGCTCACTGTACCAAGTTTGTGAAAAAAGAATTTGTTTTTTATTGCAAGAGAAAATGCTTCAGATTACTCTTAATCTGAGAGATGGACAGTTAAAAAGACTCTAGCAGAGATGTACAGCAGAAAGGCAGGAATGTTGAGTCTCAGTCAGACAGACGTCAACACTATCCCTGTGCTTTTCATTTACCAACTGTGAACTTTTGGATTATGAAATTTCAAGAAGTTGCCATAATATCGTGAAGTAAAAATCATGTAAGTAAAATATTCAACAAAGTAATGTTTCAACCTTAGGCAGACATCATTTCCCCACAGGAGAGGATTTACCATACAACATGCCAGGCAATTTTCTGGGTGCCAGTTAATGCATGGGACTTTTTTAGAATAAGTCCTCAAACCTAGACTTGTCTCTCTCTAGCTCTTCCTTGCTATATGAGCTTTTCAGCATTCTCTTTGGAAAATATATGAAGAATCTACTTGGTCTCTATGTCTCTGTTTAGCTCTTTCTTGCTATATGTGGTTGTCAGTGTTCCCATAGGAGAATATATGAAATGTCTACTTGGTTTCTATTAAGTTTACCCTTTTCCTTTGTCATAGCTGATGGCATATACAGAGGTAATTGCTTGCATATGTAAACATTGTTTGAAAGACCTGTGCTGGTGATATTTTTCTTTTTCTTCTCCCTAACACAGCAGGAAGCGTAAATGAGAACCATCTGTCTAGTCGGCCACTGGAAGACTTGCACTGGAGGAAAGAGACCCCACTGACTTCTCAAAGTTTCCGAGTGTGGGAAGGACAAAGATTTATAAGGCTACCAAGGGACTGTGATGTTCATACAGCCATCCCTTCTCCTGTTTGCTCCCACTGATTACTGAAGTCAGTGCTCATTCGTGCTGGTTGGACATTAGCTCGACTTGGGGAGCTTTAAAAATGATCAGTGCTCAAGTGTCTCACCAGGCCAATTATACCCTAATTTCAGCTGAGCAGAACCCAGCATCATACTTTTTTAAAAAAATATTCTCTAGTTGATTTTAAAATGAAACAAGGTTGAAAGCATTTGACTGAGATAAAATCTTCTGGGCTCATGGATCCTAATGAACGAAACTTGTGTGATCAGCAAACAAACATGATTCAAATGTTTATCAGCGGCAGGTGTTTCCCACATAATCTAAAGAATAACTCTACAAGGTGGAAATTACCTCTTGTTGACTCTAGATGACCTAAGACAATAAAAATTTCAGCTGTCTTCTTAATATCAGGAGGCTATACATCTGTTTCAGATTTGTTCATTCAAGGAGGACATACTAGTCAAGTGCTTCCTAGATGCTGGCACTGCTGTGAAAAGGACACTGTAAGAGTGACCAAGATAAGCTCTTTTGCATCATGCAACGTGCATTCTCATTTTGAAGCCAGGAAACAGACACAAGTCAATGTCAGGAAATGATATGTGTTTCTAACACAACCAAACCCAAATTCAAGGCTGAGAACCACACAAGAGTCACTGAGGAGTTTATCCAAAGAAGTCACAATTAAGAATACTGAGTAGACAGCAAACATAGGTACAAACCATGCAACTACCTGAGGAAGAAGCACAGGGGAATTGAAGGGAAAGCAAAAGCCTTGGTAGCAGTATTTAGTACATTCAACAATGGCTGCAAAGAGAGAGCTGGTATAGCACAAAGCAAAGGGAGGAGAAATGAGTAATGCTGTGAGTTCCAGGAACTCTTTCTGAGCCTTAACACTGATGCTAACTTCTGGCTGTTTAGCTTCCAGCCCTCCTCTTTCTCTGGTGATCTCCCCTTCCTTTTTTTTTTTTTTTTGCTTTTGAACACAGAAATTACATTCTTCTTTCTAGGACCACTCAGCTACCATTCCTATATACTACGATTTGGTAGAATTCATCTCCAGTTCCAGCTCTGAGATTGTTCTGGTTAATCTACACCTCTAACAATATCTTAACCTCCGTCTTTCTTGACTCAAAGATGGACATCGAACTGATGATAAGCTTCTGATAGGAGAGAAAATATTTGCTATTTAATTCCCTTTTTCTTGGAAGGATATAGTGTGTGTGTGTGTCTGTGTGTGTGTGTGTGTGCGCAGTTGCTCATGCATATGAAAGAGGGTATAAGTTCTCACAGCTGCTGATATGGGAGGGAAAGTGAGTTGTCCTACATTGGTGATAGGAACGTCCCCTGTAAGAGAAGCAGGCTTTCCTAACTGCTGAGACATCTCTCCATCCCTTCCTATACGTTTCTTGCATAATTTTGACTAGTACAGTCAATTATTCTTAACTTTCATCCATGCCTCAATATTTATATTGGACATCTAATAATACCTAAGATATTGTTAGAGGCATAGATTAACTAGAACAATCTCAGAGCTGGAATTAAAACTATTAAACTGTAGTTCATCTCACAAATGTTGATTGTGTATATGTGTACACACACACACACACACACACACACACACACATATATATATATATATATATATATGTCTTCTATTATACCTATCTATTGAATTTTACATTTACTTTGTGTACTTTTCAGTTTATATCTTCCAATTGTGTCCTTAATCTAGATTGAAATTCTTTGCTACCATTTTTGATTTTGTTATTAATTCTTTTTCAACATGTAAGAACACTTCATTCTCATAGATCCAGTGAGCTAGAAATGGTAAAACACCACCACATTAATGTTCAGTAATCATGAGGCCATAACACAGTGCAACAACAGCAATACTACCCTGTCAGTCCTGTTGCTCTACAGTGACTAATATTCTCTGCTTTGTTTGTCAAACTCATTGCCACTCTAAATACCTAATAGAATCTATGTCTTTAGCACTTATACTATCTTCTCTCTCTTTTTCTCTCCATTTTATTTTTTAAAGATTTATTTATTTATTTTATTTTTTAATGGATATTTTCTTTATCTACATTTCAAATGTTATCCCCTTTCCCAGTCCCCCCCCACTCAAACCTCCTGCCCCTGCTTCACTGAGGAAGTTCCACCACCCACTGTCCCATTCCCACCTCCATGCCCTAGAATTACCCTGGGGCATTGAGCCTTCACAAGACCAAGGGCCTCTCCTCCCATTGAGGCCCAACAAGGCCATCCTCTGCTATATATGCAGCTGGAGCCATGGATCTCTCCATGTGTACTCCTTAGTTGGTGTTTAGTCCCTGGAAGCTCTGGGGGGTCTGGTTGGTTGATATTATTGTTATTCCTATGAGAGTTGCAGACTCCTTCAGCTCTGTCAGTCCTTTCTCAAACTCCTCCATGGAGGACCCTATTGGGGACTGTGTGCAGTCCAGTGGTTGGCTGAGAGCCTCTGTATTTGTCAGGCTCTGGCAGAGCCTCTCAGAAGACAGTTATATTAAGCTCCATTTAGCTGTCTTCAGACACACACTATAAGAGTGCATCAGATCCCATTACAGATGGTTGTTGTGAGCCACCATGTGGTTGTGGGGAATTGAACTCAGGACCTCTGGCAGAGTAGTCAGTGCTCTTAACTACTGAGACATCTCTCCACCCCTTCTCTCTCCATTTTAAAGACGGTAAAGATAAATCAGAGCACAGTAAACAAAATTACTTGATATAAGTTTATTACTCCACTACAGAACTGATATTTTAGCTGTGACATGTGCTACAGGAAGAATTGTGTTTCTGTAGCACTTGTACACAGATACTCTAATGCCAGATGGTAAGGGGTGTGTCTATATTTTGAGATAGGGCATAAAGAAATGATTATTAAACTGAGGGAGTTTGGATACATATCAACACATTCTAACTGATGGTCTTAGAAGAGAAAGAAATAGGGACACACAGGTGTCAGGATGCATGCGAACAGGGGAAAAAACAAATGAAGATGCAGTGAGCATCTACTTGGTGATGAGAAAGGGATGAGCTACTATGCTGTTCATCATTCTCAACAGGAGTCAAGTATGAATCCAGAGGCACATGACACCCATTTAATGGTCTCAGCACTATAACATGTTGTTCTGTTTGAAATACAAGACCAGTAACCTTCCCAACTATGTGGCAGTTTAATACGCAGGTTCACTGCATGTCCTGGGGAATGCTTTCTCAAGCTCCTTGATTTTTCCTTAGAGATTCATGACCATGTGTGTAAGAACACTGCCTTTTAGATTTTTGACATAGTATGCCAATCTATAGTACGCTTTCTGCAGTGCCAAGAGTTGAAAATGCTTCTTGCATTGCTCCTAAAGTCTGGATTTTGCCAAAGTAAAGTATTGAATTGTGTCCATTTCTCCCAAGAGATATGTTCAACTTCTGCCCACTGGTACCTGCGAGTTTCTATTATTTGGGAAGCAACCTTTACAGATGTAATCAAGTTTAGAACAGATCTTTAGAAGGCGAAGGAGAAGGTATTTGGGTACAGAAATATAGAGAAGACAGAAGACGGTCAAAAGGAGGTGTGGCCAGAGAATAGAGTCATATGTAATGGGCTAAGGGAGGCTTATGGTTACTAAAACCTGGAAGAGGCAAACAAAGACAATTGCTTGGAGACTTCAGAGGGACTATGGCTCTTGAGGATACTCAGATTTAATAGTTCCAGATTTCAGAACTGTGACTGAAGTCTCCTCTGCTATTTTAAGTCATAAGATTGTGAAATTTTGTTATAGAGGTCGAGAACATGAATACATTCTTTATGTATTTTTCAACTTTTTCAGCCTCTGATGCACATATGACTAATGCCCTGTACACATTTCTGTGTTTGATATGTTCCTGTAGGATGTTTTTCCCCACATGGATATAGACATATATAGTCATCACACAGCACATTCAACCATGCCTACTTAGTACCTTGCCCATATTAACAATAGTTAGTGGATGTTTAAGTAGAGAAATCCTAGCAGCTGATTAACATGAATGCATATTTTTCACCTGTCATATTTAAATTTGCAAATTGCTAAATATTTTACCATATTCACCTTTATAATCTTATTTACTAATATATCATGGAAATCATTCTGTAGCAGCCCAGTCATACTTTATAATTCCACAATTTAATCAACTGGTTGCTCTATGACTTAATGGATTGGTTACAGAAGGCTTTCTTCACTGTTTCTAACTTTACAACAATTATAAAAGTTGCTGCACACTCATATATTTGGTATCTGTATATTTATATAATATTTGATGATTTATTAGCCAAATAATACCAACCTGAAAATCCTAGATCAAAGAGATTGCATCTGAAATTTAAGTCAACAGTTCCAACTTCCTACACATGTGTTCTAGGTTCATGTCAAAGAGTTACTAGAAAAGTGAAATTAGGGAGTTTGAGATTTATGTCTCTTATCATCCAACTAACATAAAAGAATATTTTTAAGGGAAAATTTCAGTCCTATCATTTCTTCACTGAATATTTTTGGGAAGAATGAGATAAAATCCAGCTAAGTTTGCTGAGGCACAAAGCATAGCACTCACCTGCTGGCATATCACACAGCAAATCAGAAGAAGCCATGTTCAACCACTTAACAAAATTCTTCCACCTGTGTAAGAAATGGAGACAGCTTCTGAGTAATAAGAAGTAAGCTCTCCCTGCATTGGAAGCATGAACAACAAAGCCAAGTTTTGATGTTTTGAAGCAATATTGAAAGGAGTTTTGATATCAGTGCAGGAAACAGCGATGCTTTAGGTATATCTGCTAGAAAGATCTTTGGTACAGGGAGTTAGATGTCCTCAGAGTAACAGTTAAAGCTGAGTATGGTGGCCCAGGCCACCAGTATCAGAATACCGGGGCTGAGTTGGTGACTAAGGAAGGAAGATCAAGAGGTTGAGGCCAATCTAAGTTGTACAGTGACATCCTGCCTAAAAAACAAACACATAATCATGAACCCTAGGTAAGAAACCCAAACAAACAAATGAATTACCGAAAGACCAACAGGCTGGAGATGAGTCTTCTGGCAAGGTCAGGGCATTCAGAGACCAGGGAACTCTGAGAAAACCTGGCTAATGCCACACATGCCTCTAGCCATGAAATCAGTGACAATTTTGATGTCAGTAAAAACTAGCCAATTTTTACATTGTTACTATTATAGGAAAGTAAGTCAGTCCATGACCTGTGTCATCACCATTCTGCCCTATTTTCCACCTCAAAATTTTACGCATTTACCTCTTAGCAATAGTTCGTCATGAGATCTTCATGCCAAGTGGCTATTAGAAATAGCCTTTTTTGCTGCCTTAAGTGTGAAAAGAACTACAAAACATAAACATAGAAGAGGGATAGTTATGTGTGGTGGGCTTAGGTAATAGTTAATGAGTTGCCCAAGAAGAAATTGTATTGGGTATTAGTATATTACAACTGAAATCAGTTATCTAAAGCTTGAAGTCATCCAGCAGAGCTTTGATAGTGAGAAATCACTTATATTTGCTTGCCTAGCAGTCATTTATGTTTATGTAAATATGGTCTTCTCTGTCAGTAATAGATGCATGGTTTCTTTTTGGATACAGTATGGCTAAGACTACAGTCAAACATTCATATCTTGCTCAGCCAGGGCTGTCACCCTACCTGTCTATGATTTTTTTCATTCCTTCTTCTCACTTCTGTCCTACCCTCTGTTCCTGTTTTAATCTCTGTCATTAAATTTGTTTCTGGTCCTTCTTGATTTTTGTTTTCCCCTAATATTACAAATGTTACAAATGTTACAAAGACTCACAATTGGTCAAGGTGCATAAAATAAGAAACTGTTAAATGTACAGCCCTAAATGATGCATCTATATTACACTCCCTTCTCGCAAGCATCAGTCATCATTATAGAAGAGGAGATAGAAAGATGGTTATGAGCCAGAGGTAGTAGTTCACTAAAAGAAAACTGTTTTGTAGATACAACAGAACAGTTGCACATATAAATTCATAGCAATTGAGACTGGATTCATAAGATCTGCACACGTTGAAGCCAGCAACATCCTAGCTTGGAGATGGGAAGAGGCATGAAATCACACCTCCCCAACTATGAGGCTGTTGGTAGCTTCAGGAGACTGAGAGAGATTCCTGGTAGTTTGTGCAAGCTCCAGTTATGGTTACACATTCAAAACTATATTGGAAGCACAAGATTTGATATAGGGAAAATCAGCACACATTTGGGTAGATAGGATGCGGCGATGGTTCTAGGAGGAGATGGGGAATGAAGTGAATATGATCAAGATGCATTGTTTGAATTTCTCAAAGAATGAGTAAAGTGAGGAAGAAAAGAAATTTACATTTTCTCATGTTGGTAAAAGACAGCTTCTGTTGCCAGCAAACTAACTGCAAGTGGAGAGTTGTTTTGCTATCTCACCCAGCAGAAGGCAGACTGAAATGGAGAAGAAATTGGCAAACATGTGTCTTAGGTTTTCTCAAGGAGTTCTAATGTCATAGGATTTTACTCTCTTTAAATAGAAGTGATACTTTAAGTATGAAAACAGTTTGTTTTGCTTATAACTCATAAACCTTTTCCTATACATGGATCACATATCAGAAGATTTCTTTGATCAACATGTGTATTCTGGTAGGAGCTTGGAACATGTGGCCTCCAGAGCTTCATGTGAGGAAGAGATAAGCCATGATGTGTAATGCTGCAACCAGAAAATCTGCTGACTGCAGACCTAGGAAAGTAAAGAAAAGATGGAGGACAGGAAGCTCTCATGGGGAGTGGTAGTAATCACATAAGCATCAGCATCAGCTCAGATCTGGAAACAGACTGCAATGAATCCATTTTTTAACGATTTTTTTTACTTCTTCTTTTATGACACTTGGGAAGTACAGACATATGCCTAGACCATCTTCCAATCTTTTGAAAATAAAGCATAACAACCAAGAGCCTTGATCTACTGAAAGTCACAGACTGTTCTCTATTTGTTTTGGAGATCTGTCACGCAATGTCAGACCATGTTCTATCAGTTATCAGAGAGAGAGAGAGAGAGAGAGAGAGAGAGAGAGAGAGAGAGAGAGACTAGAGAGATGGTCAGTCAATATAGGACTTTGAAGCTCAATAATCTGAATTTGATCCCACAACTCTCAGTGGACTTCCCAAAAGTTTTCTTCTGATCTCTGTAGGTGCAAGCATAAGTATGTGAAGGTGTACACACACACACACACACACACACACACACACACACACACACACAGAGAGAGAGAGAGAGAGAGAGAGAGAGAGAGAGAGAGAGAGGAATAATGAATACATGAAGAGAAAAATCACAAGAGACAAGGCCCCAGATAAAACACTCCTAGAATGTTTTTAACATTTTCTTGATTATATACTGAGAGTAGGGGGAGGAGAAGGTATTAAATAGTCCTAAATATTCAACTTGGGTATTGTATAACTGAAAGGGAATATAGGACTTATGTAACCAATATATATTTTAAGATTATTCTAGTAAATATTTTCCATTTCTGTGTCTCTTACATTTCTAGATCTTCAAAGAGCCACTCAACTTAAGAATTAGATCCTGTCATAATAATAGGCACTAATAATAATAAAACTATTGTACCAAGCTCCTGTCTTCCAGCTAGGAAGGTTAGGACTTCGGACAAATACTATGATCTTGATTCTAGATTCAGGAGGACTTCATTTCATATTCCTGAACTAAGTGAGACTTTTTGTCAAACAACAATAGTAACAACAACAGCAGCAGCAACAGGAACAAGACATTACTTGGTTATGGCCAGCTTCTCTCTCTCTCTTTCTCTCTCTCTGCCTCTACTACCCTCTTAACTCCCTTCCTCATGCCCTGAATAAAACCTATTCTATCCTATACCATCGTGCGACATGGCCTTGGCATGGGCCTGCTGAGACATACCCTTTCCCCATACCTTACCACACATACCCACAGAACATATTCTATATTTCTTTATCTTTTTATAAACACATCAGTTATTAAAACTTAAACCATGGAGGGTTGTACTTCCTTACCCATGCTCTGAAATGTTCTTTTGATTTTAGCATTTTATCTTATCTTTTACGTGAATGAATAATACTTTTAATGTAGGCTTTATATGCTAAATTTTCCATGTGTTCATCATCAAATAAGCGTTTGTCCACATGTAGTGCAGCCAAACAGATACAGTCTCCTGATTTTCATGGTTCTGCCCATGGCTTTTTTAGACCTACAGACAAGGGAAAGATGACAATTCCTGTGTGTCCTTGGCACTTCAGATTCTTCTTTCTGAGCTATACATGTGATACCTTTGCCATACTTTTGGATACAAGATACTTCATATTGGTATCACACATCACAGTCCATACTTTCCTTAGTATCTCCAACTACCAGCTGCCTCTGGGCTGACTGACATAGCTTAGCTTTCAGGGATGGCACTGCCAGCTACAAATATGAAGCTCAGGCTTTCCGCTTTCCACCTTGCTCAGCCGAGCTCTCTCCTTTGTTATTTCAGAGATGTATTCACTTAGCCTTATTGATGAAGTTATTTATTAGGTGCATATAGGTTTTGGTCTCTCCATGCTGCCTCAGTTTCCTTATTTAAAAAGTAGGTTAGTAACTATGTTTAATTCCTAGCTGTCACAGGAATTAAAAGAATCAATATTTAATGGCACTTGAAATATTGCTTGGAATTGTTTAAGCTCTATAAATGTTCTCTATCTTTATTATCATTCACATTATTTTTACAATGTGGAATGGAAAACTGGGTTGGCTATCTAACACTGACCCAAACGGCAGACAATAAATAGCACGTCTCTAATAGTTCTTTACTTAACCCTTTTCCTATTCCTTTTAAACAGCAAATGCCAAGTAAGACACCTCATGTTTCCTTTGTCTCCTAAACTGTTGCCTTTGTCCCCAGGATTGGCAAAAACAGTCCTTTCCAACCTAACTCCATTTTCCATAATGGGCCAGATGTGTACGGTAAGTCCTACTTGTGGCTATGTCAATTGCTCTACTCTGTTCAGGAAGCCTCCATAGCGGCTTTATTATTTATCTCCTCCCCCAACACAATTTGGCGTGTGCACGTGTGTTCTAAACTGGTTTAAAGCATTTAATTTTGCCAATATAATTTTAGAGTATTAGATTGCCTCCTGTTCTCTCTCTGTCCTCCTTAATTACCATTTATTACAAAGTCACAGAGAATTCACATTAAATGTGAATTCTGACTTCCATCTCCCTAGCCAAAAACAGGGATAATAATTTCCACCCAATACAACCTGCGCTCATTTTACATAAGGGTGATTCAGAGTGGAGATTAGAAACTGTAATCACGTCTTCCTCACAATCGCCTTATCCTGGCAGTCATTCACTAACGTCTCTGCTAATTGTTAGGAAAATGGAAAAATAAAAACGAAATCTCAGAGTTTAAAAAATTTATTAAAAGAAAAATTAAAAACAATTTTGTTGCAGGGCTGGGAAAATTGCCCCTCTTGTCAGCTCTTGCAACATGCCAGTTTAAGAAGGGAACACAACTCATTTTATTTGGCTAGATGGGGCTAATCCCACATCACCACAATCCCTCCTGATGTTTTATTGATTCTAAAGGACATTTAATCAGGAAGCAGCTCAGCACTAGAATCCTGCTAATTAGCAGACAGCCACATTCCAAATGGCTTTCCAATTGAACGCAGATTAATGGACAATATGTACTAAGATAATGATTCAAGCATTCAGCTCCTAAAATGTGTGTCTAAATTGCATCTTTAATCTCTTAAGGATATAGGTTTGCATGCAAAGCCTATAATGGAATGGGTTTAATTCATAGAAGAAGCTTTAGCCAATAACTGTTTAGAGATGAAATAGGTTTACCTCTTATAAACATATTTTTTTTGATTCTCATGGTGTTGATGTCCTAGAATATTCTAAGGTCAAAGATAGCCATTTCCACTCATATTTCTGATCCCTGCAATATTTGTTCTGAGTTAGATGTTAATCAGTGCTATCAGTGGAGTCTTTACTATGTCCTACATTTAATGTGATCTTTGGTGCTTGATTTTTCTTCATTTAGACTAGAGCCTTTTGGGAATCCCCCATTTGTTTCCTGCTTTGCTCTCATCTCACCTTTCAGCTTTCGTAGCTTAACCATCTCTAAGGAAATTCTCATTTCCAAAAGTGGCCCATAGAAATTCATGTACTGGATTAGACTCTTGGTCTCACTTATTCATTGTTCTTCACGTAACCTTCACTTGCCTTTTTTCCCTTGTTGCTCCCATAACCTTGATATGCCATATATTTTAACACTGATGTCTCATCCTAACTAGAATACCTGTATGAAGAAGGGGCTTTTAATTCATACCCATATTCCAAATGTCCAGGGAAATGGTGTATTGTTGACTTTTGACATAAGTTTGATAAATAAATGAATCAACGATTTCATCACATCTGCTCTGCGAACTTTGTGCCACATTAAGTTAGAAGCTCTGATCATTTTAGTGTGAGGAAAACAGCTATGTTTCTTGCTGTAGGAAGATCATTATAGAGACATCAATTAAGAAACCATACAAATAAAGCCAATATTCTAAAGAGTGTTAGAAAATAAAATGACTAGGTGCTATTTAAGTGCTTAGTGCAATGAACCTGATTTCATTAAGATGTGTAGGAAAGGCATCCTTGAGTTTGATCATGAGCTGAAAATACTTTGAGATAATGTCTCTCTTAACTGAGGTCAAGTATGTAAATATACATCATCACAAATTCTACTGCTTTAGATATTTGGAATACAGAATTGAAGTAAATAAAGAATGTTCTTGTTCTATGGTACTGTAGTTTATTGTTTATTACAACATGGCAACAAACATAGCATGCTAAATGAATGTTATTTTATTTATTAGAAGTTGAGGAGGGTTAAGGGGACATTACACTTAGTGTAGAATATTTATATAAAACATTTAAAACATAAGTTGGAAGTTTTGTAGAGCAAAAAAATGTGGGGGGAAAACAGGAAAAGAGTAAAGAATGGAGCATTAGAATTCTGTATAAGGTAATTAGTATAGCCCACATAGATTGGGTGAGCCCTAAGAAAGTTTTCCGTCTTTTCCTTTCCAGTGCAATGAGCAGTTTCTTAAATTTATCCATCAGCCAGTACCTATAAAAAGCCTTAAAGGTAATTCTTTAACATTTCCAGAGAGAGTCTGTGAAAATTTATGTCCTATACGCTTGGTAGGGTGGGTTATATCCTTCTTACTTCTCCTAACCTTCAACTGTATCTTATTTGCTCATTAAAGATTTTGGCCTGTTATATTTTCCTTTTCCTATGCATTAAGCTAAGTCAATCTCATTGCTTTCCTTTCTTAATAATCATTGTTTGATGATGATGCTTGATCCTCAACCGCTACAACACTATTTCATGGGTTTGGTCCTATTATTTAGCTGTTTATGGTGGACATTTAAGTAGTGATAGCTCCTAAGGGATGAAAGAAATTTTTTGCTTTGTATTTTTATGAGTCTTGAGGAATCTTTGTCTTAAATATTTGAGGAAGTATATCTATTTATTTTATATACATGTGTATGCATATATGTGGAGGTCAGATGATAACTTGTGAGAACTGGCTCTCTCATTCTATGTTGGATCCAGGGGCTGAATTTAGGTCATAAAGTTGGAAGTATAGGCATTTACTGACTGAGCTATTTTACCAGCCCAGTTTGGTTTTAATAAACAATAATTCTTAACACAGGTGTCAAGTGATTGATGTTAATTAGTTCCCACATGAAATTCCTTCTCTAAAGGCAGATTTCTGTACTTGACATCCTATTAGAAGACAATGAGGATAAAAAGTTGTTACAATTTCATAAATAGCATAGCATAGTAGCCAAAATGACTTACATCTGATACTAGTTTTTCTCATGGTTTTGAGATGACAAAATGATTTAGATCTGACTTGTAGATGGAATACCGTCTTATTGTGTCTTTGATTAATAGAGAGCAAAAGGAAGCTTCAGTGTCTCGTTTTCTTTAAAAGTTGCTATTTCTCTGAGGATGGTCCAATTTCAGCTAATTTAGTGATCCCTTAATGCCTCAGCTCCTAGAATTTTAAGACTTTGCCATATTTTCATTTTTGGTGGGGCACAAACCTAAAAAATCAACTTACTTTATTTCACCTCTGCAACCCAACTCTCGGTGATGTAGTAATGTTTCCAGCAGGGTCATGGATACATACAGTCCATGCTTACTACATATAGACATGACCTAGAAATAAGACAGAATTTGAAGCTTCAGTAAAATGGAATTAGTGTTTCAATTTCTTCCCATTATTATACCCTACATAGTTCTAACAAAGAATTATTTCTCAGGAGTATATTAGGCCATTGAAGTATCATTCAGGGTAAGATTTCCAGCTCAGTGCTTATAGATAAAAAACAAGCAAAGATCAAGAAATGCATGGTGGTGCTAGCTTGTTTTCTCTAATTTCTAGTCTAGAATCCCCAGCCCAGGACAGTTGTCACCTACAGTTAGGGAAGATCTTTCCTCATCAATTTACATAGTCAAAATAATACTCACAGACCTGGCAGAAAGTCCACCTCCCAGACTGTAGGTTCTATCAAACTCACAATTAACACAACACTACCAATTACACTCACTGTCTTGCTCTTCGTAGGTTAGCCAATTATAGAAGAGAGTAGAAAACTCAGTTGAGTGTGAGCAAATTAGAGAGATGTCTTTATAAGTGCCTCCAGGACTCCACTATTCCTATGGCCTATTATCCTAGGATATAGTACCAGGAAACCAGGGATAGCCTCCAAAATTACAGAGTTCAAGGGAATTATTCAAGCTAGTCAATCTTGAGTTTTCTTACCATGCTTTGTTCATTCATATTACAAGAAACACAATGACAGACTCTTGACCACACTTGTCATTTTGTCCTGAACCTGGGAAGCCTTATATGGTCTAATATCTTCTTTTCAATAGCAGTTGTCTAGGGATCTGTTAGTATTATCATAGTTAAACAATAACAGAATCTACCTTTTAAAACAGCAACAGGGCTTAGCTAAGTGTAACATGTCCTTAGTTTAGGCAAAGCCTTGTGTTCATCCTCAGCACATAGTAAGCAAGAAAGCAGGCAGAGGTCAAAAGCTCATGTTTCCTTGTCTTTATGAGGTTTTTAAATAAGCCTGGTACTTCCTAGGTGTAAAGAAATTAAGTCAGAGAAACTTGTAGAAGAAAAATAAAAGATTCTTCAGAAACATAAAAAAGAACAAAGTTAACCAAAAGCATAAGGAGTTAAGCCGAATGCTGGGCAGATTACAAGAAGATATGAATAGTAGGTGAAAAAATGTCTAGAGCTGTTTAGAGCCATAAGTATTATGGTGTTACCTGTTTGGCAGTAGTTTTATGATCTTACTGCTTCCTAACCTTCCTTGAAAGACAGTGTCTTTTCCAGGGTGGCATGGTACTTTTGTCATTTATTTTCTTACCACTATTGTTTAGCAGTTTTGGAAAATACAGGATCAAAGTAAAGGATGGATGAAAACAGAATGGGGAGTGGTTAGCAAGAAAACAATATGGAAATTGATTCCACATTCTGCCATCCCTATTTAATAAAAACTGATTAACTTTGTGATTAGCACGTACTGATGTGTTTTTGAACACCTATACTGAAATTCTTTTCTCAAAATAGACCACTCTGTCAATATTCAGTTTTGCTGAAGGCTAAAATGAATAGCAGATTAGAAAGAGTACATCATGGTACCTAGACACAGACTGATTGATGGCTGCTAAAAACTGACTGACAGTCATAAGAAGCAATAGAAACATCTACCCAAAAAGTTTAAGACAGTATTATTCTTGATTTTACCATTAAAATCCTCCAAAGCATAAGTATTCATACTAAGGAACTTTGTTTCGGGCAGTATTAGAAAAAGCGTCTGGCTAGCTCTCATCCTGGCCGCCATGTTCATGCTCTAAGTTCCTGCACTAAAGGCAGTACAGGTCGTCAAGATGTTGGTGTGGCTACTGCCTCCACTGACCAGCTCCTTGGAGTCCTTGGCTCTATATGGGCCCTGGGCCAACTCTGTCACCCTCATAGTGCTCGGCTGAACCCCAGACAATATCGTCACCCTCAAGGTACCCAATGAAGACTATTAATGCTTAAAGATTATCCAACGGATTTATATACGCAATACACAAGATGCCTACACAATTAGAATTGTTAACCCAGTATCTAACCTTTTGATATGAACTACCTGAGACTGCTAGAGACACATACATCTGCCTCCTTCTCCTCCTCTCCCCTTCCTCTTCCTTTTCTTTTTCCCTCCACCTCCCCTTCTATCGCCCAATCACCCACAGGCTCTAGCCTTTATTTTACAAATTAAGGTAGGTAGAAGGTTCACTAGAAGACATCTGTGTACTGATTCATTCCTCCTCTGCAGTCCCTCCCTGGAAAGCAGAATTAGCATCAAAATACAAGACTAGGGCTATCCACAACAGAACTTTAGTAAGAAATGTTTAATTTTCTTCGTTCAATGAGTGTTTTCAATAAGGTATAAATAAACTTTAAAAGTCAATAAACTATATTATTTATCAATAATATAGTTTCCTCAGGTATTGTGTTTTATTTACACTAATACTTGACTCAACCATCATTACCAGTTAAAGGAAGCTCTATAGATTTCTAATTACCAGAGTTAGTCCTATTTAAAGAAGACCTTTCTGCAGAATGGGATGGACATGTCCTGCTTCTCTAAACTTTCTTTCATTGATTTCTTGAGTACTCCCACATCTCCTTTGATAATTGTTATTCTCTTTCATTGGCTTCTCTTGTCTAAGTTCTCCATAATAAATGCCTTCTACAACCTGGTTTTTGTCTCACCCTCCTCTGTTCTGTAGTGGTTTAGTAACTGCTCCAATGATGTTTGCTACATCTTGAGTCTCAAGTAATGTAATTTCAGTCTAACTACCAAGATTAACATGTTCAAAACTCAGCCCCTTATAACTTACACTACTAGTTCACATTATTCCTGTTTCATTTCTTATCTCACTGAATGGCATAGCCTTCTAACAAGTTAGTGAATTTGGAGTTAGTTTTGCCCTACATCCAACGACATATCAAAGTCCACTTTATCTTTCCTAATGTCTCCATCTCTCCTGTTAGTGCATTACTTGAGGCATCATTATTGTTTCCTACATTACTGGAGAAGCTTCCTTGAGGAATCTCTTTCCTTTCAGTTTTACTTGAAACATTCTGCAAATTATATTAAAATATCCCTCTGGAAGTTCAAATATGGTCATATTATTTGCACATTTAAAATGCTTCAGAGGTTACAATGGTTTTATAGGATAAAATAAAAACTCCTTGGAAAGACCCTTTGTACATGGCTCATACTTTTTGTGAGACAGTTGATTAGAAGACATTCCTTGAGCTGGTCATTGTCTTTATAAGTCCTTATTCTGGAGAAGATCCGCACTGTTCATTTGACCCTGACCAACTGTCCCATCATTTTTTCTCCTCCTCATTTGTTCTTTGCCACATCTATATGCTGACCGGGGTTCAATATTTATATTAATCTCCCTAGTCCATTTTTAAGATAAATTATATTGATGTCTAGTTAGTTCTATGTTTAAGGTCATGGCTATGCCTTAAGTTGTCATAGAACATCAAAGGCATTTCCTCTCCTTAAGCTTCTGGTGACCAACAAGATTGTATTTGTTGTCATTAGTGCCTAGAATTGATTGACTAATTAATGAATCATACATGAAATTAAATTAAATATGCCATATTGATTAGAAATATGGCTACTGCATTTAATATAGAGAACAATTCCGGATTAGTAAAAATATTTAGAGTGTTTTATGACAGAGATATAGAAATGATTAAATACGAAAAGGGTGCCTGAGAAGTTATAGAAGATGAGTGGAGATTCTGATGTCCTAACCCATGTTCAAAGTAGAAATTTAGAAGTTGTCAAAAAGTATTAAACTGAGGTTGTACACTAAAGAGCCAAGTTTCTTCAGTCCTGCTGAAATATATACCTTGCTCAGGAAATGGGAAGGTGTGATGGCTAATCGCAGTTGTCAACTTGGTGAGATACAGAATAATCTGTGAGTTTTCTCTGGGCATAAATGTGAGAGATTATCTTCAGTAGATTTATTGAAGGAGAAATACCTGCCCATTATAGGTAGAATCATTCCCTAGGCTATAATTATTGAATCTATAAAAAAAAATAAAAATAAAGAAACTGAGGTGAGAACAATCATGATTCTCTACTTCTTGACCTCAGATGTGATGTAACCAGGGGCCTCAAGACCCTTATTGCTGTAATCTCCCTGACATGATTGTCTGTAACTTCTGGGAGCCAATATAAGCCAGTCTTTTCTTGATTTTGCTAGGGCATTTTGTCACAGCAACAAGAAGAATATGGCAGTGGAACAATTAAAATATACGTGGATCCACCTTGCATTTATAGTCCTATCAAACCATCATTAGACTGAAGATGTGCAAGATAACATGATAGAAGAGTCCATAGATGAATATGACTTATATTAAATATGTTTCCATACTTTTTGTGATTGATCAAATCTCAATTGATCTGAGTGACAAGATCTGTAGGTTATTTTTGATAATAATTATTTTTCCCAGAAGCCACAGGTGCTCTGAAAACACTTTGAATTGAAAGCTTTTTGGGTGTTCTCCATGCCACTTTATCCCTATTTTTGTTTTCATGGCAGGAAACAGTAGAGAGCTGTGATGGACTACCCAATAAAGTTCATGACTTTCAAGTTCACATTTTAAGAAAGTAAGACTGAAAGGTTTAAAATATCAATGCTTCTAGTTCTGGCCTTTAAAGTATTCTCTCAATCCTGGATCCAGGAGCAAGGAAGTTGTGGTGTGGTTGTACCCTTCGCTTCCTGTATCAAATATCCCTTGGGCCTTAATTTGCTGCACATTCTTAGGAAGCAGAATTCTATTTAACATGCCTCCCAAAACTGTATTATACTTTGAGTGAGTTCCAGCTGTCTTAAGAGATGCCAGATGGCTCATGAAAGACATACCAGCTCTAAGGAAAATACTCCCAATTTCCTTGGATATGAACCACAGAGTTAAGCTTTCAAGGCCAGTTGTAGACGAGAACATTTAAGGGTTCTATGATAGCCAGTGTTTAATGTTGTATCATGTGGCCACAAGACTAAGATCTCAAAAAACTGATGTGTGTGTGTCTATGTGTGTGTGTATGTGTGTGTGTTTGTATGTGTGTGTATGTGTTAAGATTCATTTAAGGCCTTGTGTACCAGAGTATATACAAGTATTTTCATTTACTTAAGCTCATTTAATCTTCACAATAGTCAAAGGAGGTGACTATTTGGAACCCAAGTTTTCCAGATAAAAATCTGAGACCAAAAGAGACTAAGTGAATGTATTTTAATTTTCAAGTTATTTGTATTGTAGTTTATGCATAACATCTGAAAACACAAGGCTTCACCAATGGCATTACATGGTTTATAATCTATCAAAGACCTGCTGCTCCTTAATCTATTCTTTATGAACACAGGAAAGGCAAGTCATAACCTTCAGACTACCCTGCAGTATTTTCTTTTTACTGAAACACATTTGCATGTACAGTACACATGAATACATGTACACGCACACACAGACATTAGCATAAACCTAGCTCTTCATTTTGCCTGCATACATGTAGTACCAGAAAAAGGCAGCTTTTGTTTGAGAGTAAGAACCTATTTGTATGGTACTGCATCTTTGCTTTCTTAGTAAATAAAATAAAATTAAATATTAAAAAAAGCTACTCTAACTTCCTAAGTTTTAACCCCTGAATGCCTAGAATAAATGGTACACTGTGATGCCTCTGATTGGATCTTTTTCCTGTAATTCCCAAATTCCCTTAATCCGCTGATTTCTCTTTTTTGGGTATTATTCTCAGTAAAACCTTCTGGATATCCTCTTTTAATTGCATTCCCTCTGGTGTCAATTTTCAACCTTTTCTATACTTGAAATGTTGACTCTGACCTTTGCTACTTGAGGCCCAGAAATCAGTTCATTTGTCCTCTTCAAACTTCAGAATTTATTTCACTTATAAAAGGGCAGTATCAATGCCTATCTACATTTCAGGATTTTGTGTAAGGAGTTAATTTTATTGATGTTCTATGAGATCATGTCAGTGAAGCATTTAGTCCAGTGCTCAGCACCTAGTCAGAGTTAAGCAGTGTGAGGCTGTGTATTATCAATGCAGTTATAGTAATAGCAGTAATCATCATTCTACCTCTGTCCTGTGTAGCTTTGAGACATCAGTTTATTTGGCTATAGAAGATTAGAGAATTAATATTGTTCTGGGTCCTCTTCCATGTAACACATCTGCACTGGTAATTACTGTCTCAAATCAGCATGCTAAGCTCTATCTGCAATAAATTACATCAGTTCTAAAATATGGTGTTCGAAAGACTTGAGATGCCACATGCTGACCCCAAGTAGAGGTTCAGAGAGGATATGAGAAATGAATTTGGCCTTGAAAAAGTACTTGTTTGCATTGTGAAATGTTATTTGGATATTATTAGATTTTCTATCATTAAACATAACCCAAATGTAAGTAATTGCTGAACCAATTATGCATGTTTCATAAATCTCTTCTCTGTTTTGTTTTCTCTTTTCAAGTACACACACACACACACACACACACACGCACGCACTCACACACACACACATAACAAACAGTTGTATAATGTAATCTATAGGAAGAACATATAACATATACCTTATTGTTAATATAGACTCAGTATTCTAAGGTTGACTTTTTGTCAAATCTGACATATAATTTTGGTTACCTTGGGCAGGGGCAGGCAGCCAGAAAATGAGCGATCTTCTCTTCGAAAGCTCAGGTTGAGGCAGTCTACGTTGAATTTGCCTTGGCATGTTCTTAGTGCCATCTTCAAAATCTCCAGCAGGCTCTTGTTCACTTCAGACAGTGAGCTGGAAGCTTGAGGTGGTATGCTGAGTAGACAGGAAAATAAATGCTAAGAAAAGAACAACCTGCTAAAAGACTCTGTGGGCTTTTATGTTGTGTTTCTCAGTTCAACTATTTACTGAGATTCTCTGAGATCTTAGTAATCTGGATGAGGGCTGCATGTGCAATGTTCATAGATTTGCACGCCTTGTTTAATTATTAGAATGATTTCTATAATTTCTTCTCAGGAGGCACAAAGCTACTGGATTATTTCATAGACCTAAACACCTAATCTGTCTTCCAGCTCATTTTTTCTTATTTGAGAGAAAATAGCAACAAGTTGTAAACCAAGTCTTGACCTACTTAACGTGGCTATTTTTAAATTCAGTTAATTATTAATAGCAAATTAAATTCCCAAATCATTCATTGCCCAAAACAAAGCCAAACAGATGCTCCTATATAGTGATGGTGGATTTATATGAGAATTGATTTGCCTGCATTGGGTAGAGGTATTACATATTTTCTAATGTTCCTTTTTATGTCTGGAGGACTGAGTGATTGGGAAATAATGTTTACTTACAGTCTTACATGCAACTATGTTAGTACTGAGACAGTCATGTTTGACTTTTTCTTCTTTAAATAATAGATGAATGAAAATGGGGTACTAAAATGTTATTCTGATTTGTTCATGAACCTGTTACCTCCAAATTCAAGTGTTCCCCTGATCCATTAGAATCACACCCTCTTCTATGAAATTCAAACTGACTTACACTTATGAAGGGAAGTTATACTTCCTCAGAAGGAAGCTGTAACATCTATGATACCCACATACACCAGGCTTTTTTCAGTTGTAGGTACTGTTTGGAATTTACTGTAAATGTTAGTATCTCTGGAAAGGCAGTTACAGGAGTGTATTTCATCTGGACCACTTTAAGAGATTAGAGCTGTAGCCCTTGAATCACAGAGCTGCCCCAACCAGGAGATTATAAGGAGAGCTTCTCCTAAGCTGCAGACTTAGCCTCATGTTTCTACAAAGAGACTGTCTGGTCTGAACAAAGCAATTGGCTTCTCCAATGCACTCAGAATAATGATCACTTAATGTGCTTCTCTTAAACAGAGATTCCTAAGTGTCCCTGCAACTCACATTAGGGAACATCCTGAGATAACTGTAGATGTCATTTTATTCAATAGATATTTATTGAACCCCTCAAATAAGTCAGTAACTATTATAGGACTAAGGGAGACCTAATTTCTGGATAAGACAGACACTATTCCAAACCTCAAATACCAGATAAATAATTTCAAATGCAATGCCTGTCAGGAAGTAAAAAGTTCAGGACCAGGAGACAAATTAAAAAAATAAGGTACAGGGACCAGAAAAGGCTTCCCATCTAGCACTTATGAGGTCTAAATGGTTGATAAATTCCCGAGACCACAATTTCACAACCTTTAGTAAATGAAGGTTGGTTGTTGTGTACTAAAGTACACTGTAATTCACAAATTTGTTTATTAATGAGACTAAGAACTCAAAGTGTAAACTCTGATTTTTATGGTACATTTGGTAACTCTCATAGGACTAGCCAAAATTCTAGTAGTAGAATGAATACTACTGTTTGGCCCAGAGACATTTGTGTTCAGTGATACATCTTCTAACTATGAAATAGGCTTATTTCTAACTAAACAAAGACATAATAAAAATACTTTGTTACCAAGTACTGCTTTAAATAAATTTGTACTTGTTTATTTATTTAATTTTTTAAAATTTCACTTATTTTACTATAGAATTTCACTGTATACCTCAGCCTTCCTTTATCTTGCTATGTAGAAAAGGCTGGCAAGGAACTCAGAGTTATCCTCCTGCATTTCATTATTATATTTTCACACACAGATCTCATCATACTTTCCTCTCAATTATCTTGTTCTTCATGTCCCATTGTCCTGTGGACACCTCCAACTGGGTCCCTTCATTCCCCAGGAAAGCCCCCCTCTATTTTTGTGACAGATGCATTCTATTGCTTTCTATTTCTTTAGTTTTCTTTCTGGACTTTCATGATGACCTTTTTAGTTTCTGGGCTAATAGTCACACAGATATAATATGTACATGAGTACACACACACACACACACACACATGCACATTTTTAAATTTACAATATAAGATCTTCAGAAAAATGAAAATCTCTGGCTTTGTTTCCAGTGAGAAATCAATGTAAGAAAGATTACTTGAGTCTCCATTTCCAACTGGACACTGAAAGTACAGAGGAAAGAGAAGAAGTATAAAGTGACACAGAAGGTGAACCTGGCATTTTGGCTATAGAACCCATGCTCCTGACAACTGCCCTTCCTCCCTGTTCTTGGTAAACACAGAAAATGTCACACTCCGCTCTGCTTCATCTCTAATATTTCTCTCACACACATTTTATAAAAAAAACCACACTGTGTCACATCTTTTGCTTAAGATTATGCAAAAAGATATTAGTAATTTTTAAATTTAAAATCCTTTGTTAATGCCACTAATATAAAACTTCACTAATCAAACCTATTTTCTAGATTCATAGTTTAAAGGTGAGCTCTGCACCCTACACGATTCTTTTTTATTTCAGAATGAGAGTTTTTCAAAGATAAGCAAAAGGGCAGATAATTTAGTATTAATAAATATATGAAATAATGAAAATTACTTTCTATGCTTATAGAGAGAGAAAGAAAGAAAAAAAAGAGAGACTGGGAGAGGGACAGGGTAGGGGAAGAAAGAGAGAGAAAGGCAGGGAGGGGAATAAAGTGGGGGCACTGTACATACAAGCCAAGTGTGTGTGAACAAGGAGTGCTAGTGAAAGTCTCCACTGCCCTGAAAGCTCTAGAAGTCTAGTGCAATGGTCTGAATGTTTGTTTACCAAACTCAAACTCAGGAGTCTTACGTTATGAGACTGGAGACAGCTTCATTTAATTTATGTCAAAGGGAAAGAGGCCCATTAGAGTCAAATGTACTTGAAAAATGTTTAGTACTGATTGTGGGACTGCGTAAGGGTATTCTGGTTCATGGTTGGCATGTGCTTAGAACCCTGAGACTCTACATGAGAACTGGCAGGAGTTTGGTGCTCACCCAGAACCCAGGGTCCCAAAAAGCAGTCTAGTCTCCATAAAACTACATTGTTCAGTCACGTAGGCCATTACAGCCCCTCCCAAAGTGCACAGGTAGAGGGTGTGACTAGAGGCCTCAGGCCCTATGGATTTACATACTAATGAAGGCCAGAGGGCAGAGTAAATTAAGCAAGCCTCCCCAGATCCTCCCCCAATCCTTCCCCTTTCTCCCTCCCTATGTAAGTCGGGACTGCCCTGAGCTTTCCAGGGTGGGGGTAACAACCAGATCCATCTACCATCCACCATGACAATAAACCCTTTTGGAACCAAGGACTTCCTCGTGTCATTAGGGCCTGTCCCTGCCAAAGCCTTCAGGCCACTAGAACAGCAGACATTCCTCCTGCATGTGGGGCCTGCAGCGTGGAAACCCACTGGGACTCCACAGCTGTGGCCAATATTTTTCCCCACAACTAATAATTTAAAAAAAATTCTATTTCAAAAAATTCAGGCCCATGAAAGGGGTTATAGAAGAGGTTACAGTGTCTCTGTCTCTCTGTTTCTCTCTCTCTCTCTCTCTCTCTCTCTCTCTCTCTCTCTCTCTCTTTCTCCCTCCCTCTCTCTTTCTCTCTCTTCTTTCTATCATGTAAGGATAAGGAAGGAAGTGACATATGAAAACCCAAACCCAAGCATGGTGGTCCTTTCATCTTAATCTTTGAACCTCCAAAACTAGTTTCCACCAGAATGTCAGTTCACCACAGGAGTATGACTTAGATATGCAGGAACCATATGACTACAAAGGGGAAGAAAATACCTTTGTTTATTGTGGTTTGGATTTGGAGCTTTCCTTGGGTTGCTATATATGGCTGTTCCATTTTGCTGTAAATTATCTTTAGTTGCTTCTTTCAAAAAACAGAGTAGCTCTCCATAATTCACCTGGAAGTTAAATATAAAATAGAACAGCTTCATTTAATTTATGTCAAAGCGAAAGAGACCCTTTAAAGTCAAATGTGTTTGAAAAATGTTTAATATTGATAATTTTCAAAAAATCATATTTAAAAAATGCAGGCCCATAATTATTAGTGGTTTTAGCTACATGGTCTTATCTGTACAAATGGCAAAATAGTACCTCCTTATTCTTGCTTTGTGGTTGGGTAGAGTCCAATTACTTAAATTCTCAGCAGGGCCCTATGACTATAGTCAAAAGGTTTTGAATGTGTAACAACTACATATTAATTCAAATGTAATCATACAAATGTTTCTGGCCACTCTCACCTGTGTTGATTCACTTTACTTCCCTGCAACTTTGGTCTGAGAAGACAACATACACTTCTACTGAACTTGCATCAAATTATATAATACCAGTGAGCTCTGCCTGAAACACCTTACTTTGGATTCCAGACAACTGTGTGTTGGGAACTGCAGGGTTCTCCCTATTCATGGAGTTTTCTACTCATACTGAAATACAGTGGCTTAATTGAGAAAAGAAAGATTTTAATATTTTATACAACTACTTCTCAACATATTAGTATAAAATTACTGTATCTTTAGGTTATAGTAAGTTATAATGTTTGGTTTTTAAATTCCTGGCTTGATTTTCATGAAAATCAATTCAGTGTCTTTTGGGTTAGGATTAGGACAGAATTTTCAACTACAGAAATAGTGTTATACAGACTTTTCCTAATATGAAGTACATACTTATATGAAGTGGTACTCTTAGCATTGATAATTACAAAATCAAAGTACTGATCAATTTTGATCAAGCAACAACTGTAAATGTTGAAGATGCTTTACATCCTGCAATAACAAATATCCATCTAAGACTGCACTCTTTTGTTGCATATGTCTGTCTCTGTGTGTGTGTGTGTGTGTGTAATGTGCATGTATGTACACATTTATAATGTATACTGTGGAGGGAAGAGGTTGATGTTGGTTATGCTTTACTTCATTTATTGAGGCAGAGTCTCTCACTTTAACCCAGGGCTTGCTAGTTTGGTTTACAAAGGCAGGTAAATTCAAGGTCAGTCTGGGACAGAGTGAGGTTAGCAATCTCAGAATGAGATTCCATCCAGCTAGCATACAAAAACAGGCAGATCTCTGAATTCAAGGGGAAGGAGGAGAGAGATAGGGTCTTTTTGGACAGGGATAGTGAGAGGGCAAAATGTACCACTATTGTCTCTCAGTTAATATGGTGAATCCATCTGTATTCTCCACCAAAGAATTTAGTTTTAACATGGTTTACAAGATTAGGATTCTAGTTGTGCCCAATGATTGAGTTACTATTGTTTCTGAACAACAACAACAAAAGTACTTTCTGTCTTCAAAGAATCAATGGGCTAAGGTCATAAAATGCTGATTCGTAGGATAATCAAAAAGGAACCTGGGTAAATAATTGAATTGATATGTAAATAAAAGAGTGAGCTTTAGTCTATAAGAGCTGAGCTATCTAGATGAGGTGTCTGGAGAGCCAGCAGGGGCAGAACACAGGCTGTCAGCTTGTACCCCACCATTGACTTTGACTCATTCTTTTTTCTGCTCCAAACACTCCTTCCTCAGAACTCTCCAAGCCAAGACTGGTCCTTGGCATTCATGTCTTTCTCTTTCTTTTTCTCTCTCTTTCTTCCTTCCTTCCTTCCTTCCTTCCTTCCTTCCTTCCTTCCTTCCTTCCTTCCTTCCTTCCTTCCTTTCTCTTTCTTTCTTTCTTTCTTTCTTTCTTTCTTTCTTTCTTTCTTTCCTTCCTTCTTCCTTCCTTCCTTTCTTTCTTTCTTTCTTTCTTCCTTCCTTTCTTTCTTTTTCAAGTCTTGCCCCCTGAGCCATTACTCTACCCCAGGAATTTTTTACAAATAACACTAAAGATACTTGACTAAGCTTAAGGAATGATAGTATTTTACATTTATCTAAAATGATACACAACACTTACTAAACTAAACGCTTCCTTTTGCAGAATAGCTTTCATGGTATCTGAACATGCTATGCAAGCCATTGAGGAAAGGAAGGGATCAATTGTCCTGTACTGCTAATATTCATATGTACCACGACAATGATTATTACAATTGCAAGATATTCTTCAAGGTGCAATAGTGACACCCTTGTCTAGATATAAACTAACAGCTGTCTAATTGGATTTAAGAACTTCCCAACAGGAAAGAAACAATGCCTTATATTAGAGACCTATCTGTTCAGTATTAGTGAGATTATAGATTTTAGAGAAGAGTTTTTAGTTTACCAGTCTAGCATCATTTCTAAATACATTCTTAACCTTAATTTATAACCACTTAAAAGTGTAGCTCTCAGCCCACCTTAAAAAAAAAATCATCCCTTTTCAATAAATGGACATACACACAAACACGCACAAAAGACATAAAGTAAGTCATATACCTAAGGCTCAGAAAACATCACAGAAGACGGGTAGATAGATTATAAGAGCCAGGGGATTATAAAGTCTAGGAGATTGTTTTCTCCTAGAAATGACAGGAAAACTTTACCCATGACACTGAAATAATATTGCTGCCTAAATAAGACCTGGGCAATAGAAATACCAGCTAACACAAAAGGTAGAAATCTTAGAGGGTTCCACCCCTATACAAAAAGTTACAAGCAGTTAATGACCTCATGCTGTACTACAAAGAAATAGTAATAAAAACTCCATGGTATTGCTACAGAGATAGACAGGGTGGTCAGAGGACTAGAATTAAAGACCCAGAAATAAAACTACACACTCATGGACATTTGATCTTTGACAAAGAAGCCAAAAATATACAATGGATCAAAGAAAGCGTCTTCAATAAATGGTGCTGGTGTAAATGGTAGCTGGTTCATAGACAAATGAAAATAGATCCATATGTATTACCTTGCATAAAGCTCAAATCCAAGTGGATCAAGGACCTCAATGTAAACTCAGATACACACTGAATCTAATAGAAGAGAAAGTGACAAAGAGCCTTGAACTCATTTGCATGGGGAAATTTCCTAAACACAACTCCAATGGCTCAGGCTCTAAGATTAAGAATTGATAAATGAGACTTCATAAAACTGAAAAGCTTCTGTAAGGCAAAGGCAAAACCTCACATCTGATAGAGCGCTAATATCCAAAAATATATAAAGAACTCAAGAAGCTAACCTCCAAAAATCCAAACAACCCAATAAATAAATGGAGTATAATGCTAAACAGAGAATTCACAACAGAGAAATCTTGAATGGCCAAGAAGTACTTAAAGAAGTGTTCAAAGTACTGAGTGATCAGAGAAATGCAAATCAAAAGAACCCTGAGATTCTACCTTACACCAATCAGAATGACTAAGATCAAAAACTCGGGTGACAGAACCGGATGGCAAGAAGGAAGAGAAAGCAACACTCCTCCATTGCTGGTGGGATTGCAAACTGGTACAATCACTCTGGAAATGAATCTGGAAGTTCCTCAGGAAATTGAAAATTTATCTACTTGAAGACTCAGCTATACCACCACTCTTATGCCCCACTATATCATAGGGATACATGCACATAGCAGCCTTATTGGTGATAGCTAGAATCTGGAAACAACCCAGATGTCTCACAACAGAGGAGTGGATACCGAAAATGTGGTTCATTTACACAATGGATTACTATTCAGCTATTAAGAATGAGGACATCATGAGTTTTGCAGGCAAATCACTGGAACTAGAAAATATCATCCTGAGTGAAGTAACCCAGACCCAAAAGGACATGCATGGTATGTACTCACTAATCAGTGGATACTAGCCAAAAAAAAAGTATTGAATACCCAGGATAAAACCCATAGAGTTCAAGAAGTTTAACAAGCTGAGGGGCCCAAGTGAGGATGGGAAGGAGAAGAAAGCAATCATGAGAGACAGAGGGAGGGAGGGACATGAGAGTAAGAGGAGAGGCAAAAGGAAAAGGGGTACATGATCAGGTATTGTGGGGTGGGGAACAGGACAGAATCCCTGAGGGCCAGCAGAATAAATGGAAATATACAACCTTGAGGAGTAGGAGGTGGGGGGATCCCTCTAGAATGTACCAGAGACCTAGTAGGTAAGAGACTCTCATAACTCAAAGAGAGAAACCTTATATGAAATGCCCAACAGTGGGGAAAAGGACTTTGTAAAGTTTACCACCAGAAGAAAGACAGGGCATCAAGTGAAGGGATGGAGTTGCCATCCCACAGTCAAAAACTCTGATCTAGAACTGTTCTTGTCAAAAAAACAAAAAACAAAAAACAAAAACTGCAGGGACAAAAATGAAGAAAAGACTTAGGGAAAGGGGTTCCAGTGACCTGCCCAACTTGGATTCCATCTCAAGGGGAGGCCCCAAGACCTGTCACAGTGTATGTACACACATGGCTGTCCTCTGAGAGACCCAACAGACAGCTGACTGAGACAGATGCAGATACCTACACCCAACCACTGGACTCAAGTCTGGGACCCCTATAGTTGAATTAGGGAAAGGCTAGAAGAAGCTGAGGAGGAGGAGTGCTATCCCATAGGAAGATCAGCAGTCTCAACTAACATGGATCCTTCAGATCTTTCAGACACTGAGCTACCAACCAGGAAGCATACATGAGCTGGCCCAAGGCCCCTGATACATATACAGCAGAGGACTGCCTGCTCTTACCTCAGTGGGAGAAGAAGTTCCTAACTCTCCAGAAACTTGAGGCCCCAGAGAGTGGGGGCACCTGGAAGAGGGAACAACCTCTTGGATACAGGAAGAAGGCAGAATGGGATGAGGAACAGTGGGAGGACAGACTGGGAGGGGAGTAATTGACTAGATTGTAAAAAAATAAAAGTAATAAAAATATTTTAAAAGTTACCCTTTCCTAACAATGTGATAATTAATTGGTTATTCAGTGCAAAGTGGTCAAACTTAAAATTAATCATATACACACAAGTCACAAAAACTGGTTCAGCATTTGTACTTATGAATTTTTATAAATGTAATAATAGTCATCATCAAAAGAGGCCATCAGTTTGAGTAGGAGGTGAAGGAGAGGAATTTGAGGTAGGAAAAAGAAGGGGGTTATAATACAATTATATTTTAACTTTAAGAATAAATAAGGGGCTGGAGAGATGACTCAGTGGTTAACAGTACTTGTTGCTCTTACAAAAGACTCAAGTTTGGTTCTCAGTATCCATATGGTAGTTTACAACCACCAGGAACTCCAGTTCTGTGGCATCTCTGCTTTCTTCTAACCTTCATGGGCAGAAGGCATGGCATACATACACATATACATGAAGGCAAAACACTCATACACTTACGATAAATAAATCTAAAAATAAATAAATAAATAAATAAGCATATTCATCTTAGTATACAAACTTGCTTTAATCTTTTATAAATATTGAAATTCTATGTACACCACATACTTATTGTTGACAGTTCTTTGTAATTTGTTATCAGTAATTCTTTGATTTGTTTACATATTTTATATCTCTATATACCTGAGGTCACATATAATTTCTTTAGTAAGAAAATGTCAGAGGTAACAAAGTTTACAAAACCAATGGAGAGCCATGTGGCTTGTTCTTACTAAGGTGCTATGAACAGAAAAGAAGAGAATCATTTTGGGTTAAAGATTAAACTTCCTACATAAAGGCCCTGGAAGTCTCCCCTTTGCTCCTCCAGTATCACCTGCAAAAGGATTCCTGAGTAGCTGTTTCATCAGGATGGGTCCTGTAGCTTAGATAGCATTAGTGCCTATAAATATAGTGTGAATTTAAAACTAGCTGCTAGCAGGAATTGGGAAGGTAGCTCAATTGGTAAAGTGCCTGCTGCAGCATCGTTCTTGAGTTTGATTCCCCATATGAAATAGAACATGATGGCGCATGCCTATTCTCATGGCTTTTGAATAGGGGAGGCAGGAGGATTAGAAACTCAAGGTCATCTTCAGCTACTCAGGTGTCTTCAGATGCCAGTCTGAGTTGCCTCAGAACCTGTGGGATGGTGTAAGGGTATCCTGGTTCATGGTCGGGCATGGGCCTGGAACTCCAAGACTCTAAGTGAGAAACTGCAGGCGTTCAGTCATGTCCCCAGAACCCAGAGTCCTGACGCACAGTCTTGTCTCCATAGACCTACATTGTTTAGTCACATAGGCCATTACATCCCTTCCCAAAATGTACAGGTAGCGGGTGTGACCATAGTCCTCAGGCCCTAGGGATTTACATACTAATGAAGACCAGGGGGTGGAGCAAATTAAGCATTTCTCCCCAGACCCTCCCCCTTTCTCCCTCGGTATTTAACTCAATGACTGCCCTGAGTTTCCTGGGGGTACTTCCAGATCCATCCACCATCTGCCATGACAATAAACCCTTTTGGAACCAAGGACTTTTCTTGTCATTGGGGCCTGTCATTGCCAAAGCCCCTAGCCTCTGGAACCCCAGAGGTTTCTCCTATATGTGGGACCCGCAGCATGGAAACCCACTGGGACTCCTCCACTGCTGCAGTTTTTTTTCCCCACAAGAACCTGTTTCAAAACATCAATAAATGACAATTTGTTTTTATTTTTCAAACCACTGAGAATATGGAGCTGTTAATGGGCGAAAACATAAGTATCTAGACTCATTTTCCCTCTCTTATATCTCAGAAATATTATTACATATAATATGTGCTTATAAGTTTAGATGAACTCGCATACTCTAGAGACAAGAATTTATCAGATTAGAAGAAAAAAGCCAAGATTGGTTTCCAGTGTAGTAAGGGATTGAAGGATGGTCACTGATTTCCACTGCTAACATAGAAGCCATCCAATGGCTCTGGATAAAAACCTCCAGAAAACCAGAAAGACAGCCTTGGAAAGAAGTTAGGCAGAGTCTCATATAAGGTAGGTCTTGGGCTATAAATTTCTACTGAAGTTTCATATAGTTTGTGTCATGTATTCACCACATATTGCTAAATAATTCTCATAAGGATAGAACAGATTTAATTATGATAGCTTAGGAGAGAGAGCATTTATTTGAGCATCTACTAAGGGCTAAATATAAGATTAATATTTTTCATTTGTTACTTCACTAAATCAAGAGATGATGCTTGTGTTGTTGGTTTTGACTTGGCTTCCTGGATGAGATCTTTGAGGTACCAGGGACACTGAGAACAATTAGTTACATGGGCTGTATACACAGACACTCTGGCTTTACTGTAAGTGAACTTACGTCTCAACTCTATGCCTCCCATTCATTCCTTGGTTTCTTCAACCAATTTCCTTGACAACATTGGCCTCAGTTTCCAAAATGGTAGCAATAAATTAAATTTTAAAGACATCTCTGACTTCTAAGATACCGTCACAGCAAATTTACCTTAGTTAAGGCCTCTACTCTTATCTTGAGGCCACGCCTGTTCACCACTAGACTCAAAAAGGCCCATTGATTTGAATACATATCAGATTTATGTTTAGAACAGACAGTGAAAGTTGAGACAAGAAAGTTCTTTAAAGAGAAAGTGAACAGATCTGAGATCCCAACTTTATTTTCTCTTCCAATGTTTTCTCATAAAACCTTTTCCACTCACGAATATGCATAAGTTTAGAGGTCCACAGGAAAGGCCTTAGTCAAGGGAGAAACTAACTTCTTAATTGTATTACCCTGATGGGTTAAAAGAAGAGACATAAAAAAGAACCCACATTTGTGATCACATAATAGCCATACCATTTCTGCAGAACCCCTTCTAGAAAATCTTTGGCAGAGGAGCTTGACTGTTGGTAATGGCAGAGGGACTTTATGTCTTAGGAAGAGACGGCTCAGCTGTGACTGGTGGAGAAAGCCCGAAGAGATGGGGTCCAGAGTCCTCAGCTCTTTCTGAAGTTTGTCCAACAAGTTGGAGCTCAATGGGTGTGAGTTGAGTTCTCTTCTGACCAACGTGATTAGAAAACAATCTTCTCTTGTTGTTATGCTTGGCCTTTGGACAGCTTCCTAACCCAACAAGGGACAGAAAGGTGAGTAGAGCTCTGAGCCAAGACAAGTAAAAGCAGAAGCAGAAACCACTGGCCCAGGTGTCAAAGCTGGGCCTGGCCTAGGGCAAGACAAGATGGTACCACCTGAGGAAAAGGATTCATTCTTCATAGTTTGATTAGTTTATGGGACCTTAGATCTCTTCCTCAGGAGGGAAAGAAACAACTTTTCTTAGAGGACATATATGCTCTTTAATGACCATCATCTATCCTTCACAATCAATGAAAATGAAAATATTTCATCTTGAACAAGCATTTAGAATAATAAATCTTATGAACTTGTCAGATTAGGGAGTTAAGTGCTGAGAGTGTAACAAAAGATAAAGGCTGAATTAGGATTGGGTCAACTGGAATGGTAGGCGCCCTTCTAGGAAATTTGGAATGAAAGGTAGTTGAGATCTGCTGGCTTGTCTTAGAAGTCTCCAAGGAAGATTCTTATGAATCTGGGGAATATGAGGAGTATGACATCTGTCAGTCTATCCTCTGATGTTCTAACCAGTATTTAACATGAAAATACAGTCAACCCACCATATACACATCTATGAACAGTAAGTCAATAATTCGGTATACACACCTCAGCTTGGCCAGAGTTGTCCTTTGCTGTATGTTCCAAGTACCAGTCTATAGATTTTCTTCTGGGAAGACTATGTATATAGGATTGAGATTGGTCTCCTGTTGGTACTGAGCTGCAGTGGATATTTGCCTCATGGGAAAACTTAAAAGAAACAAAGACAAATGAAAGCAAAGAGCAGAAATATAGAAGGGAAAAAAACAAACCAAACAAACAAGGAGAACATGAGTGAGCCCAGTGGCTTCTTTCAGTGAATTTCAATTCTAACTGAATTTTGGTCCATGACTCCATGGAGTAACTGAATTCCAGTGAGGCACACTTGCTCCACCCCATTTCAGCATTAGACAATTAACACATGTGGAACAAAATGGTAACAATTAGATACTGTTTCATTTGTGCAAGGAAGGTGTTTTTGACAGGTGCACATAGGAAAATAGGTAAAACATAAGGTGTTTGTAGACAAATCTGGAATCTTACCAGAGATGGAAGTGAGTCTTTGTAGGATGTTTTTATTAGTAGGTTCAGTAAAGGGTGGTGAAGGCAATTATGAGCTTTGGCAAGAAGAAAAGAAATTTAAAGTGTTACTCTTCAAAAGTGTTATTAAAGTTTATAACAAAGTAATAGAGGAGTTAAGATCAAGGTTAAAATCTAATCTCATATGGTGAATTATTGATATTTGAAACTTTTTCTGTATTTTATGATGGTTTATCATGTTAGTGTGCAGGTGGTAACAGTATATGACTTGCTTCCAAAGAACTTTCCATAAGCTAACTAGATTTTTACGTAACTTTCATATTTTAAATTCCTGACTAGCTAGTACCAGGATTTAAACACCCAGAAACCATCCTTCTGTCCCAATTTGCAAGAGAAATCTTCAGTGTAACCAGTGCTAAGCTGTTTGTACTGTCTTTCTCCAATGATTACAAGAAGCTTCACAAAATTTGTCCCTTTGCTTCCAATCCATTTCAGGCTCTTGGGAGAAGTTGGTATTTTCTCACATGCCTTGAGTGGGACAACGTATCATCATTCTTGAAAAAAAAAAAAAAAGCAACCATTCTTCCCAAGATGTTCACATTCATCATTTTACAGTTTGGGTTCATAAACAATTTCAATTAAATCTTGAGTAAAAATTCAGATTTGTGATTAGTATTAGTCTCAGGTAATTAGAGATACTATCAAAGGGACTGTGGTAACTTACTCTCTTCAATCAACTGATAGTGGGGGCAAATAACTATCAGCAACCTACAGATACTTTGTAGTCATGAAATATTTTAAGACAAAATCAAGAGGCTTTTCAGAGTGGACAAGAATATCAGTTATAGAATATGCATGTAAAGAAAAGTTAGTTATGTTACATACTCTGAACAAGGCACCATATGTGGATATACATCAATCAATTTTCCTTCTACAGCAACCCTGGTTGCTCCATTGCATCACTGGAAAGCAGAGGTTTGCAGAAAACATAAACACGCATGCACACACACATGCACATGTATGTATGTATGTATGTATGTATGTATGTATGTATGTATGTATGTATAGGATTTCTGTAAGTCTCTGCCAGGCTCTCTAACATGTCCCAGGATGAACAGAGCAGAATCTTCCATTCTCTCATAACTTGCAAACAGTGAGAGGCACAGTAAGGAACCATGACAGTAGGACAAGGTAGAATAGACCAAGCCCTACTGGAGCAGTACACAGATTCATCTAACATGGACTTAACAGTCCAGGTCATCAGGAAATGTCACCTATATCTAGGCTTGAATAAGAAGTTAGATTTTGATAGGCTTACAACAGGATAGGGAGGGGAAGGGAAGAAAGATGACAGAAAAGGGGAAGTAAATATATAAAATCCCAATGGATGAGAGAGAGAGAGAGAGAGAGAGAGAGAGAGAGAGAGAGAGAGAGAGAGAGAGAGAGAGAG